GTGTAGTTTTTTTTTTTTTTTTTCATCTATTGTTTCAATTGCTGCCTTTATCATTAGACTGCTGCCAATGCTAGCAGCTGCTTGCCATTGTGATGACAGTACTATCTTTGTTTTTGGTTGTTGTTGGCACCAATGCCATCATTTATTTTCCTTGATTGCTGTTAATTTGTTGTAACCAATATTAGTCTGTTAGATTGTTTTTTTTATGCTAGATGAAGTATTCTACTTCTGGAGATACTGTCCTAGCTCCATATAGTTTTTTTTACAATGATTAGTTAAACATGCATTCATACTATCAGAAGCCAAAAGAAGTGGTAGTGACAATATTTGCAAAGGGTGTACCAGCAGAAAATGTTTCTATCAACTTCGGAGAACAGATAGTAGGTCAAATCTACTAGACAATTTCTTCTGTTATGTCTTGTTAAATACTATTTTCAATCATTATTCTTGAATTTTTAGCTGCCTCTCCAAGACTTCATTATCTTCTAATGACAAGTTGATGTACTAATCAATTCTATTTAACTTTTTTGTGCAGCTAAGTGTTACTTTTTTGTGGGATTTGTATTCACATTACAAATCTATAAACCTCTCTTCCCCCATCATTCCTTTTCTACTGGCATGTAGAAGAAAAAGAGATACCTACTAAGCCAAACATTTATTACATGTGAAAGAGTTATGTAGCTGATGTTTGATAACTGAAATACCAAGATTTTGCTGTATGTTGGAAAAAGGCATAATATAGAACTGTATTTTCCTCTTCAAAACAAACTACCATGGCAATAATTGTTCTATTATCTAATGGCATATTTGTTTACAATTTAGCACTGGTCTACCCAAGTTTGATTTGTGGATATGAGAATTTTCATCTAGTTTGAAAGATCAATCCAACATACCACACAGGGAGCTAGTAAACAAAATTTCTTACATCAATAGCAGAATAAGTAGAGGTCCAACTTATCAACATTAGGTAAGTTCAGTCACCCTTATCTAAAACTTACAACAGCATATCCTATCAGAAAAGGGCATTGCTTCATGTCTCAAACCACTCTTTGAGTGACCATTTCTCGAAAACCCCACATTGTCTGATCAAAATTGTTATTTCTGTGAATGTAAAGCCAAAAACTTTTTTATTGTGTATGATAAACATATGCATGTGAACCTCTTTCTTGGATGTACAAACACCATTGGGGTTATTGTCTCTTTTTTGATAATTTTTGTGTATTTGATAATTTTTTGTAGGTCAATGTCAATGTCAAGCACAAATGCAAGTATGGACAACATGCATGAAGTTAGATTTGAAAACCGCAATTGTCGATGTGGCAAAAAAGCTGTGGTGAAGATTTCTCAGTCAACGGATAATCCAAATTGCCTTTATTTTGTATGCTCCAATTATCCGAATGGTTGCAACTTCTTTCAGTGGTGGATCCCTCCACATATGCAGCATTATTTGAAGGTGGTCGAGAATGATATTGATGAAGAACGCATGGAAGTCTTGTCTACTCTTAGAGAAGTAATTATTGTGAATGGGGAGCTCAAAGACATGACTATGAAGAGTAGGAAACAATATAGAGACTTGGCAATGGTGGTTGAAAGAGTTGGTGCAAAAATGAATTACGTCTTTGTTTTTTTTATTTTGTTGTTGCTGGTAGTTGTGATTTTAGTGTATTTGAAATAGTATATGTAATGTAAGGTAGTGTCAGTATGACTTGTATTGTAGGTAGAATGTGTATGTAATGTAAGGTAGTATGAGTATGACTTGTAATGTACGTGGAATGTGTATGTAATGTAGAGTGGACTTGTAATGTATGACTTTGAGTTGTAATGTATTTTGTAATGTATGAGTATGACAGATTTTTAGCACAGTTTTTGTAATGTATGAGTATGAGTATGATAGATTTTCTAATGACTTGTAATGTAAGATAGATTTTCATGACAGAGGTTTGACACAAGTTTTTTAACACAGGTATTTGAAGACAGAATTTTTAGAATAGGTTTTTGGCTATGTATTTTGGCTATGTATTTTGAACACAGGTTTTTGAAGACAGTTTTGTGAACAGATTTTGAACCAAGAATTTTTGTGAACCTGAATTTTTGAAGACAGAATTTTCAGAGCAGGTTTTTGGCTATGTATTTTGAACACAGGTTTTTGAAGACAGAATTTTTGAAGACAGTTTTGTGAACAGATTTGTAGACAAAATTTTTGTGAACCTGAATTTTTGAAGATAGAATTTTTGAAGACAGTTTTTGAAGACAGTTTCCAAAGACAGATTTTCAGCACAGATTGCCCTAAACAAAGATTTGGAAACATAGATTTGTCAACAGATTTTGAACCAAGATTTTTTGAACATTGTTTTTTAAGACAAAGTTTTGGAGACATTCAACATCAACATATCCAAAACAAAATAAACATCACCATTCACCATTCACCATTCAACATCACCATTCAACATCACCATCAACATATCCAAAACAAAATAAACTCCATTAACATATCCCACATACTTCAACAAGTTTCACCATTCACCATTGAACATCAACATCAACATTAAATACTTAACAAGTTTCAACAAGTTTCACAATCAAAATACAGCAGCTCAACAAGTTTCACCATTGAACATCAACAGCAACATTAAATAGTTAACCAGTTTGAACAAGTTTCACAATTAAATACTTCAACTTCAACATCAACATCAATGTTAAATACAGCAGCTCAGAGGCATCTCCTATGCATGAAATTTGAAGTGCCTTCCAACTCTTCATGGCCATCCAAACCCTGGAAAAAAAACAGCACCAACACTATACTTCAGTAGGACAAAATAAGCACCAAAACCAGCATTACAGCAGCACATAATCAGCACCAAAAACAGCATTTTGGCAGCACAAAATCAGCAACAAAAGTACCAAATCAGCAGCAAAAGTACCTCAGTATGCAGCAGCAAATTATTTGTTGGCCGAGAACCTGTCTGTGAGCCTTCAGAATCTTCAAACCCAATGTCATACCCACCTTGAAGTAGTGTCATAAATGTTGGTTGTCCACAATATGCCAAATTGTTTGCCTACAATTCATTCATATTATATTACGATTCATAACAAGATGCAAATGAAAAATTAATTGACAAAACACAAATTACTTGGCTACAAATCTGACTCACATTATATGTGGGATATATTAATGGAGGAGGAATTGTACCACCCATGGCAACGGAATGAGGAGGAGGAGGGGGAGCAAGAGGAGGATGAAGAGGAGTAACATTTTCATGAATACTTACATCTCCTCCAATAGATAATGGAGAAGGTCTCACGGTTGGAGCAGCAACAGGTCTTGAAGAACTCAAAAATTGTGCACGGGACTTCTTTTTAAAGCTTGCTTGCAATGCCAGCTCACATGGACCTTTTATCCTTCTTTTGCCCTTACTAGTTGGATGCTTTTTCTTCAATCCTATTGAAATTTGCACAACATGATTGTTGTCTTCATGATTGTTGTCTTCTTGCCCACAGGTTTGAGGTTGATCATTAATACTTACTTCTTTTTCGGGACAAAAATGTGCACTTATCTTGCTTTCAACATGTGCACCTAATGCAGCTACTTGTGAACAACAAAAATCATAACTTTCCTCAGTTTCAGCAGCTCTACATGCTATTGATCTAAATGCGGTCATCAATGTCTTATACCATGAGGCTTGTTTGAATTTGACGTCTACTTGAATCTCATTCCCTAACTTGTCCGTCACAGCTTCTCCTCTTGCTTGTTTGGTCCACCTCTTCATAATGTATTGTAAAGGAATCTCTTTCAACTTCAATATTTCTCTCATAACCTTCAAACAGTGACTGCACAAAATCCCTTTCCTTTCAAACTTTGAACAACTACAAGCCAAAGAGCCATCCATCTCCATTTTCACTTTCCTTGCATTTTTCCCAATAGCATCAACAACTGTGTATAGGCTACAACCATCAATGTATTCAATTGCTTGTATGTCTGATTCAACAGAAAGAAAATACTCATCTTGAAACTCCTCAAAAATATTTTTAGTGTACACATTACCCATTTGACTCAACATTATGAATGGCGCTCGCACCCTTGGCAACCTTTGGCATAAAGCATATCCAGCTTCTAACTCCTTGTACCGCTTCTCACAAAGTACCCTTTCAAAATGCATGAAGAATTCATTTAAATTAAAATCAGAACGAATGTAATCCTTCAAAAATGCATTAAAAGATTCACTAAGTTGTGTTGTACTCATTCCCGCAGCCCATGTTGATCTAACATATGGCCAGCCCCATTTTTCCTTCACCCCGAAAATCAACTTCAACCAATGATTGTCATGAGCATCATATGTATCAAGCATTTCCCCCCACTTCATTTCCCATTCATTTTCATCCTCAATATCAAACATGAATCTATTTAATACACCTTTCACCCCCTTATCTTGAAAGAGACAATTACCATGCCTTAATGCATTTTGCATCAAGTGCCAAGTGCACAAACGGTGACTCGTGTCAGGCATGACAATGGGTATGGCCTTAGCCATTGCAGCATCTTGATCGGTAAACAAAGTTTTTGGTGCCTTTTTGGACATAGCCTCTAAAAAAGTTTGAAATAACCATACAAATGTTTCGGCAGTCTCATCATATAACAACGCAGCACCAAAGACAACTGTTTCTCTATGGTGATTAAATCCCACAAAAGATGCAAATGGCCTATGCTCTTTATTTAACTTGTAGGTAGTATCAAATGTAACTACATCGCCAAATTGGGCATAATCCATGACCATTTGTGCATCGGCCCAAAACATATTCGTTATTTGCTCTTCATTGTCTAATTGGAAAGCATAAAAAAAAGATGGATTCTCCAAAGATTTTTGTTGAAAGTATTGCAACACATTACCTACTTCACCGTGTCACCCAATTCACGACTGGTATACACACACACATAGAGGGACACCGAGAGAGAGAGAGAGAGAGAGAGAGAGAGACCAGTAAAATTCCTTTAAGATTGTCTTGGGAGATATCAATCAATGTCTAGCTTGCCTTCCTCCTGAAGATGAAGCAGAATTTCAATCAGACACTTATTACCAGGCTGATCATCATTTCCTTTTGAAGCTCGATATATTTCAATCACATCATCAAGGAAAGCATCTAATCCTTGTGAAGTGTAGTTTTTTAACCAAACCAGTTAGTGCGTCAATCCATCCAAATGATGGGAAGAAATCTTGGAAGGAAAACTCAATCAAGAGCTCCATTCCGTTTCTCGCAAACTGTCCGAATCTCTTCTTATTATCCTCTCCTTCATACTTCTTCCCAAGAATACATCTGGATATTATGCTAGTCATGGTATCAACCAACATATCTCCAAGGTTGACAGAATTAGCTCCTCCATCAAGGCCCGTGTTGCTGCGTATCTTCTCAATCATCGTCGCAACTTCTTCTTCTCTAACAAAATGGAATGATTGTACCCTTTTGATGCTCAGAAGCTCCAAAACACAGATTCTCCTCATTTGTCTCCAATACTCACCGTACGGAGCAAACCCTAGACTAGTGCATCCATACATTAATGCATCAGCAGCCCTTGTTTGGACTCTGTTTGCAAAAGCAATGTCATGAGTCTTCATGATTTCTTTTGCTATCTTTGCAGAGTTGACAACCAGAGTTGGAGCACCACCCAAGTATAGCAGTAACATAGGGCCATATTTTTCGGAGAGAGCATGGAGAGACCGGTGAGGGAGGTTCCCTAGTAAGTGAAGGTGTCCGATAATCGGTAGCCTAGGTGTTGAAGGAGGGAATTTGAATTTGCTAACACTTTTCTTGAATTTAAACAGAAACAGGAGGAGGGAGGAGAGGAGGAGAGGGAAGACAAAGGGTTTGATTAGTGTTGTTTTGTAGAGCTCTTGCCACCATTGTTGCAACAGTGGTGTTAGACCCATTATTGCACTAATGCTGCATCAAACTAATTGCTTGTCATTACTTGAAATTTATACACTGCCATCAGTTTACCTTTTTGATTGAATAAATAAACAAATGGCACATTTTAATATATTTTTTATTTGTACTAATTTCTTATTGCCATCCTCATTAAACCTATGAATGTTTAGTTTATGTTATGCTACTCAATGATTATGAATGTAGTGATAATTTCAGCATTGTGTTTTGCAACAACAAATGATTGTGCATATGCTTGCCTTTGTTAAATGGAAAATGCTAAGCACTATTAAATAGGCCATGGTTGATGCTGGTATATATGTGAAAAAAATTAATGAAATATGTAAAAAAAAAAAAATTGTATATGTGAAATGTGTACTAAATTCTGAATCTTTTGACATTATTTGATCTTTTAACCAACACTCGGTGGACAATCATTAAGACTCTATTAAATTAATGCTCAAGCTACTATTCATTAGTAAGACTCTATTACATTAGTGCTCAAGCTACTATTCTTTTAGGTGTGGTATTCTCTATCTTCATTTTTTTTTTTAATTTTTTTTTTTATACCGTTGTCTCAATATATTTATAATTATTAAATTATGGTTCAAGATTTACATGTCTCGTAATTTTCTCATGAGTTAAAAGGTTGATAGTGCATTGTACAAGAACCAACTAGGCTTAGCCTAATTGACCATCATAACTATCCTAAAGGTTTAGGGCTGTTTTGGAAATATGGTTAAAAATTATTTTTTGGCTTTTTTTGACTTTTTTGTAAGAGATGAAAGTAGGTTAAAAGCTGAGAAGTGACTTTTAACTCACTTTCCAAAAGAGAGAGGTCATGATGGAGAGTTGAATTAGGAGGCAAGTACTTGGTGCTTTATAAGAATAGGGAGGTTAACTCCCATAAATTTTAATTTAACATCTAATAATTAACTTTTACTGATTAAAAAAAAAAGTGTATTGTACAAGGGGAAAAAAATATTTAAAAACAAAATATTTTTAATCATTAATCTTTCTTGTTGTAGTGTTAAATCAGTGTGACGCTATCACGAGAATATCAATAATAATATACTCATCATCTATATCAGGTTTGGTTTTGAGCTTATTATCATTGGTTTAGTATAAGTATTAAAGCAATAGCAGAGTGAAGTACATATCAAACAACAGCTTGACTAATTCTGAGACCTTAAAATTAATATTTTGCATATAAAAATGCTACATGCAACTCCGTCGACTTCGCCAATCGCCAGAGCTTGGAAGAAGGAGGGAAACAGAGCTTCGAAGAGGAGGGAAAATGGAATGGGAGGGAAGCTTTGTGCTGGGTCGAAAATCAGAAATTCAAATTTTTTTTTTTTTTTTTTTTTCTCAGCCGTAGATCTTAAAAGGGCCACGTGGCCAAATCGTGACCCTTGACCGGAGGACAGGAGGGAGCTTTGGCTGGAGAGGATCCTTACTCTATTATCATTGGTTTAGTATAAGTATTAAAGCAATAGCAGAGCGAAGTACATATCAAACAACAGCTTGACTAATTTTGAGACCTTAAAATTAATATTTTGGATATAAAAATGCTACATGCAACTCACTTGAAAAAGCTTTGTAACAAGGATCATTAAAAGTTTGTTCAGTTGTTACTTTACAGCCACCTAAGAATAATTTCTAACAGTTCAAATCCGAGGTAATTCAGGTCCAATTCGATTAGCTGGATGGGGTACCTTAAATTATATAAATAAATAAATAAAAAAAACTGTAGCATGTCAAACTCCTCTCCAACAAACAAATATATTATTATATTAATTGAGGCCATTCTACAAAGACCTCAAAGCAGTTGTTTATAGGAAGATAAATATTATCAAAAACCCAATTAGTACTATGTATAAATAAATAATATAATTATATAATATGTTCTATAACTGAATAAATTAAATTAACATAAATTCCAATGGCAAACACAATCAACAAACAAAATTGTAAGGGTTAATTACACTCTCACTAAAATTTTACTTTGATTTTTTACCTTCAATGGAAACAATTAATTCCTATACTTTAAATCAAATTGCAATGTCAATTTTCTATCCATTTGCCTTTAGTAAGGTGGAAAATTGTCATATGAAGTATATGTGACATTTTTTTTGTCACATTAGCACCTTCATATTTTTACTAAAATCTCACTTTAGTCCTAACAATTTATCAAAATTTCACTTTTACCCCTTCACTTTTAGTTTTTCTTAGCATTATTGAAAATAAATAGATGAAAAAGTGACATTGCAACTTAACTTAAAGTGTAAAGGGTTGATTATTACAATTAAAAGTGAATGAACCAAAGTGAGATTTTCATAGAAGTGCAGGGTACTAAGTGTAATTTACTCAAATTGTAAATTCAAAGTAAGCGAAATAAAAGAAATTCTTTTTAGGAAAGAAAGAAATTGGTATTTTATATGGTCTACAATTTGGGTGGCAAACGAACCAAACTGAAATAGTGCTGGCAGTCAGTCAAAGGGGATGTGATGCAATTCATGAAAGAGTTTCACCTGAAATCTAAGTTGGTTTTTGGTATTAACAATTCTTTTGTAGCCTTGCTTCCCAAAAATGATAACCCCTCCAGTCTTAGTGATTTCAGACCTAGCTAGTCTCATAGGTTCTATGTATAAAGTGCTTTCAAAAGTATTATCTAGTAGGTTAAAATTAGCACTACTGAAGATCATTAGTGACTCTCAATCAACGTTCATTGAGGGTAGAAGCATTTTAGATGGTGTGCTGGTTGCTAATGAAATTGTGGATGATTGGAAGAAGAAGTAGAAAAAAGGTTTTGGTTTAAAATTTGATTTCGATAAAGCATACAATTTAGTTAATTGAGAGTTCCTCTTCTCTATTTTATCAAATTTTGGGTTTGGATCAAAATGGATAAGTTGGATGAAGAAGTGTGTTTTAACAGCGAAAATATCCATTCTGGTGAATGGTTCACCTACACATGAGTTTAGCCCCCAAAGGGGTCTTAGGCAAGGTGACCCATTATCACCTTTTCTCTTTAATATTGTGGCTGAGGGCCGTAACATTTTGCTGAACAGAGTTGTACAGTTGGGGTTGAATAAAGGAGCAACTGTTGGTACCAATGATCTTACCATTACTCACTTACAGTTTGCGGATGACACAATATTGTTCCATGAGCCAACAAGGGAGGAGGTGCTTAATATCAAAAGCAAATATTGTCTGGATTGAAGATAACTCAAAGCAAATGGGGAGAAATAACTCAAAGCAAAAGTAATGGGGGACTAGGCATTAGAAAGGTGAGAACTATGAATAATTGTCTTATTTTGAAATGGTGGTAGAGATTTAGGTGTGAGAATGGAACTTTCTAGAAATAGGTAATTTGTAGCGAATACCCCGAGGTTGGTGAAGGTTTGTCGCCTTTGCCTGTAACAAGCACAAGGTTGTCTATAATCTGAAGGGATATCTTAGGGGTTAATGGAACTTGCCTTGAGTTGATGAAATTTTTTAAGGACAATACAAGACTTATTGTTGGTGATGAGAGAGAATCAAAATTTTGGATAGATAATTAGGTTGGTTCTGGGTGCATAAAAGATGTCTTTCCTAGATTATTCTCTTTGTCTCTTGATAAATTTGAATCAGTGGCAGTGGTTAAAAGCAGGAGGTATGGTAATGAAGAGTGGATTTTGGGTTTCAAGAGAAATTTGTTTGAATGAAGAATTAAGGAGGTTGAAGGTGTTGCTACTAAATGCACCTGCTCTAAGGGATGAAGTACTGGATACTTTGAGTTGGAAAGCAGATAAGACTGGTAAGTTTACTGTTGCCTCTGCCTACAAAGGGAATGGATTTCCATTTGATGTGTTTACACAAATAGGGAAATTCATTTGGAGGAATGTGGTTCCTCCGAAGGTGCAATTCTTTGGGTGGTTGGCATGGAAAGAGAGACTCAAGATAGCATGTTATCTTCAAAGAATTGGAGTTCTCAGTGCAGCTGTAAATGTTAACTACATTTTATTAATGGAACTTGCCTTGAGTTGATGAAATTTTTTAAGGACAATACAAGACTTATTGTTGGTGATGAGAGAGAATCAAAATTTTGGATAGATAATTAGGTTGGTTCTGGGTGCATAAAAGATGCCTTTCCTAGATTATTCTCTTTGTCTCTTGATAAATTTGAATCAGTGGCAGTGGTTAAAAGCAGGAGGTATGGTAATGAAGAGTGGATTTTGGGTTTCAAGAGAAATTTGTTTGAATGAAGAATTAAGGAGGTTGAAGGTGTTGCTACTAAATGCACCTGCTCTAAGGGATGAAGTACATGATACTTTGAGTTGGAAAGCAGATAAGACTGGTAAGTTTACTGTTGCCTCTGCCTACAAAGGGAATGAATTTCCATTTGATGTGTTTACACAAATAGGGAAATTCATTTGGAGGAATGTGGTTCCTCCGAAGGTGCAATTCTTTGGATGGTTGGCATGGAAAGAGAGACTCAAGATAGCATGTTATCTTCAAAGAATTGGAGTTCTCAGTGCAGCTGTAAATGTTAACTACATTTTACGCAGAAATGAAATCGAAACTGTGAATCATGTTCTGCTGTATTGTCCTTTTAGTTAGAGGATCTGGTCCAATGTTCTTAATTGGTAGGGAGTCTCTTGGGTGATGCCGAGGTCAGTGACTGGTCTCTTGCAGTGGTGGGCTGGTTATAGTCATAAAAAAAGGGGGTGAGGGTCATTTGGAAGGTCATACCACTGGCTGTGTTCTGGTGCATCTTGAGGCAGAGGAATGACAACCTCTTTAATGGTGCGTTGGTGGATTTGGAAAGGTTGTGTGATATTATCAAGTTAAGGATTGAATTGTGGCTCAAAGCTTCTAACCCTTCTTTTGGTTACTCAGTTAATGAGATTGTGTATAATCTCAAGTAGGTGTTAGTTTACATTTTGCATAACTGGTAAAACTCTGCCTTCTGAACATGGGTGTGTTCTGTTTATCTGTTCTGCCTACTGATATTTTTCTGCCTTGGTTGTCTGGTTCTGTGGTGGATTGGGTTTGTGCGTAGGTGTTGTGCTTGGCCTAACCAATTAGTCTTCTGCTCTTTGTCCAGTTGGTTGTTGGTTTGATTT